TCGGCCCGGCCCGGGAGCCTCCCCGGGCACCGCCAGCCCGGCGCGGGCGGCCTCGGCTCAGCCCCGGGGCCACCCGGTCCGGGTGACAGCGCTCACGTGCTGGGAAACAGAGGCACGGCCGAGCTCCCTCTGCCGGGCTCCGGCCGGTGCCCGGTGCCCTCCCGTGCCCTTGGCCGGGCTCCCAAGGGCGGCTGAGCGGGTCCTGGTGGCTCGGGAGCGGGATGTGCCCCCCGCGTCCCCCCGGGGCTCGCAGGAGGGGCAGCCGTGGGGTCCCGGTGCTGGGGCTGGGTCAGTGCGGGTGCACGCGTGTGTTTGGTGTGTGCCAGGGTGTGCCACGGTGTGCCAGGCTGGGTGTCCGTGCCCAGCCAGCCGCGGCTCCAGCGGAGCTCCCTGCACGGCCCCGCAGCGCTGAGTCAGCGCTGGGGAGGGTCCCCCGCAGCAAACCCGTCCTGGAGGAACCGGAGGGCACCGGGGAAACTGGAGGGGCACCGGGGCGAGCCTGGGCCTTGAGTCACTGTGTGCCAAGGGAGGGACACGCAGCGGGGCACGCCGGGGACGGGCGGGGCCGGGCTGGGCCGCGGGGAAACGGGAACGGGGGAGCCCCGGAGCGCCCCGAGACTGCCCCGAGTGAGCCCGGCCCCCAGTGAGCCCGGCTCCGAATCCTGCCCCGAGTCCTGCCCCGAGCCCTGCAGGGGCGTCCCGCGGTCACCGTCCCTCCAAATGGGGGAAATGGGACGGTAGGAGAGGAAAAGGAAAAGGAAAAGGAAAAGGAAAAGGAAAAGGAAAAGGAAAAAAAGGAAAAGGAAAAGGAAAAGGAAAAAAGGAAAAGGAAAAGGAAAAGGAAAAAAGGAAAAGGAAAAGGAAAAGGAAAAAAAGGAAAAGAAAAAGGACTCCCCCACGAGCCGTGTCCCCTGCCCGGTGGACTCGGGGTGCCGGTCCCCGTTCCCAGCGGGATCCGGAGGGCTCGGCTCGGCTCGGCTCGGCCACAGCTGCAAAGCGTTCCCAGCGCTCAGCACCGGGGCGGGGCAGCCGCTGCTGCGTTTGGAGGCACTGAGGGCCGTGGGATCAGGAGGTACCAGCCGGCTCAGCGTCCTTGCGAGCACCATGACCAGGACTTTGGAGCGGTTCTCCAGCCCCCCAAGAAAGACGAGAGCCCCGTTTGCCAGGCCACCGGTGAGAGGAGGAAGATGCAGGAGAGGCCGATGCTTCGGGAGGTGAGATTCAGCTGCTGAGGAGAGGCTCTGCCTTTCCTCAGTGCCCTGCCGAGCCCTCCTGGCTCCCCCAAAGCGATTTCAGCGATTTTCTCCCCCCGTGCCTGGGTTTGCTGCTGGGGGAGCGAGGTTTGAGCAGGGCTGGGGGATTTAAGGGGCGAGGGCAGACGTGTGAGCTCTGTTCTGGGGGGGTCTGCAGCCTCCGAGGAACATCCTCCAGCTATCGATCCCCTTTATCAGGGCGCAGGAATATGTATGGGCTGAGGCGCTGATCAATCCCGCTCTGCCGATCGATCCATCAGCTGCTGCCCCGGGGCTGCTATCGAAGGGAGCTGCCCAATTTGGGCCCAGCCCATCCCCGCAGGCCGGGGGGCAGGGCTGGCTCTGTCCCCCTCTGCCCCTGCCCTGCGGGGCGAGCCTGGCCCTGGCAGGGCCCTCAGGAACCTCCTCATCCTCTCCTGGCCCTGGCAGCACCTCAGGAGCCTCCTCATCCTCCCCTGGCCCTGGCAGCACCTCAGGAGCCTCCTCATCCTCCCCTGGCCTGGGCAGGGCCCTCAGGAGCCTCCTCATCCTCCCCTGGCCCCTGGGAGCGTCCCAGCAGGGTTGGAGTTAGGGTTTAGGGTTAGGGATAGCGTTAGCGCCTCAGGACCCTCCTCATCCTCCCCGGGGCCGGGGAGGGAGGGGGAGGAGCAGCCCCTGGCCTCGTTTATTGATTGCTCCGTAGGCAAAGGTCAGCAGCGAGCGTGGCAGGGTGGGGAGGAGGGAGGTGGGCTGCGAGGGGCTCGCTGCCAGCCCTGGGGCTGTGCCAGCCTCGGGTGGGGTGCCCAGCATGGCACAGCGCTCCCCTCGTGCCTCAGTTTCCCCAGCAGCAATGGGCTGGCAGGGCTGGGCGGTCCTGGAAGGGTGGGTGGGGAAGGAGGGCAGGGTCTGTGCCCACAGGAGGGTGGGAGTGGGGCTCGGAGAGGCTCGGACGAGGTTTGCGTGCAGCCAGGGGGGCTGGGCAGGGACAGGGATCGGTTTTCCTCGGCGGGAGCTCGGAGGATGCTTGGCTTGGCTGGTCAGCGGGGACAGCGGCAGCGCTGGGAGGTGGCGCTGGAGCCTCAGCCCAGATAAGATCATTTTCCACGGCCCTGGAGGGGCTGGCAGCGCCCTGGGGACACCGGTGCCATCTCTGCCAGCGCTGTGCCCCCCGTGCCCGGGTGCTGCCCATCCCAGGGCCCAGCCTGCCGGGTCAGGGCCCGGGGGGAGCCCCGGGGCAGCTCCGTGGCTCCGGCCCGGGGACAGCAGCGCCGGCACGGGGCTCGGAGAGCTGCTACGATCGCAGAGCTGCCGGGCTCCCAGAGCTGCTCCTGGGCTCCCAGAGCTGCTCCTGGGCTCCCCGAGCCGCCGGCCCGGCCCCGGCCGTGCCGAGGGAAGATTTACAGGCTGTCAGAGCCGGGGCCAGAGGTCAGCAGGGGTCACAAAGTCCATTTCGCTGAGGTCACTGTCCACTTCTTTCAATCTAATGAAGCCATTATTGGTGAAAGCGGCCGCTCTGCCGGCTCTCGCCTTGAAGGCGAGCGGGGCACGGCCGCGGGCTCCGAAAGAACAGGAAGGAGTCCCCGTCCCTTCCCGTTTCCATTCAGCAGCGCCGAAAACAAACACGGAAATGTGACACTGCCGGGACACGGCACCGGGAGGGGATGGAGGTGCCCGGATCGGGGGTGGGGCTGCATCCCCTGGCTGGAAACTCACTGAAAACAGAGGGCAGAAATCGGGGGATGCTGGGGAAGTTGCTGCTGCTGTCACTCTGTCCGTCAGGAAGGGGCTGCAAGGGGAGGTTATGCAGGCTGTGGGTTATTTCCTGGAGGATTCGTTGTGGAGAAGGCAGGAACGAGCTCGTTCCTCAGCAGAGCCTCCCCCCGTCCCCTCACACCGTGCAGAATCCTCCCCAAATCCCGAATGGAAGGGGGAAAACGGGGCAGGAACCGGGATGAAAGCTGGGATGAGCAGAGGGGATGAGCCGTGTGGAGGGTGGGCTGTTTTCTCCCCCCCTGCCCCAGCTGTCCCGCAGCCGAGAGGAAAACGAGGATGAGTGTGGAACCCCTGCAGCCAGGAGAGGGGGCCAGAGGCGCTCCTGTCCCGGGATGGACCCGGGCCGCCCCCTGAGCTGGGAGTGCCTGCAGAGAGGGGAGGGGAACAGGGACAGGACCGCGGGTTCCTTCGTGCCAGGGCTGCCCCAGCCCGGGTGGGGTCACTCGTGGCACCTTCCAGTCTGTCCGTGTGGGACACGGATCCACCCGCACCGAGTCCTGGCGGGCTGGGGCGCTCCCAGCAGCTCACGTCGGTGTTTTCATAGAGAAAAACCATCCTCCTCCTCATCTTCCTCTTCCTCCTCCTCCTTTGCCATCTGCCCGTGGGGTCCAGCTCGGCTCTTTGGGGAAGGGGCAACGAGGAGTCCCCGGTGCGCGGGGCAGGAGCGGGAGGAGCCGGAGGAGGAAGAGCCGGAGAGGGAGAGGAAGAGCAGCAGGAGGAGGAGGAAGAGCCGGAGAGGGAGAGGAAGAGCAGGAGGAGGAGGAAGGCACCGCCAGGACCATGGACAGGGCCCGGTTCAGCACCACGGCCAGCGGCGGCGGCCCGCGGGCGGCGGAGCCCTCACGGGGGGATTCCCCACGCGCGATTTCGCCGCCAGCCCCGGCCCGGCCCGGGGTCCCCCCGTTGGTGTCACCGCGGCCCCGCCGCTCCCGGTGCCCGCCCGGTGCCCCCGGTGCCCGGCTCGGTGGCACCACGCGGGACCGGCCGCGCGTGGGGCGGCCGCGGGGGGCTCGGACGCCGCCCCCAGCCCCGGGTTGCCCTCGGGGGCCGCCGCCGGCTCGGTTCGGTTCGGTTGGGTGCGGGGGCGGCGCGGGGCAGCCCCGGTGCCGGTGCCGGTGCGGCGGCGGGCGGCGCTGTGCCCCCGCGGCCGGCGGGGCCATTGTCCGCCGCCGGAAATGGAGCCGCTGGTCACTCCTCGCCCTTTGTCCCCGCCCGGCCCGGCCCGGGGGGCGCCGGGCCCCGACAGCGCCCCGGCCCCGCTGCCGCCGGCACCGGGGGGAAACGGGGCCGCGGGGCCGCGCACCCCGGGGCGCGCACGGGGCGGGACACGGGACGGGGCTGGGGGCGCGGGGAGCCCCCGGGGAGCCGCCCCCTCCCACAGCCCGGCCCGTGCCGGTTCTCCCGTCCCGCCGGTTCCCCGTCCCGCCGGGCCGCGGCTCGCAGGTGGCTCCGCTCGTGGGGAAACGCGGTGGGAGCAGCCCCGGGGCGCGGGGGTCCCGCTGCAGCCCCCCCTGCCCGGTGTCACCTCCTGCCCTGACAGGTGGCCTCGCCCCCAAGTGCCCTAAGCGGGGGGGGGGTCGGCCAGCAGAGCCCCCCCGCCGCAAATCCCCGGCGGAATGTGTCGCTATTAGCGGGGGGGTTAATTAGCGTCACGTGGGGACGGGATGGCGGAGCGGGGCCCGGCGCCCCCCGGCCCCGCGGGTGGGTCCTGGGGGGGGCGGGGGCTGCCATTGTCTGCGAGAATTTGGGAGCCTTTGAAAAAACCCTGGCGCTCCCTCCCACCCCTATTGTTGGAGTGAAGATGGAGTCAAACCTCTCCCGGCTCCCTCCCGGCGGGGTCTAAGCTGGGTTTTTTGTTGTTTTTTTTTTTTTTCTCCTTTTTTTTTTTTTTTTCCCTTTTTTTTTTGGCTGGCCTGATACCCTCAAAGCTGGCCGAGGAGGAGGAGGGAGGAGGCGGTAACAGCCACAACTCGGAATTTGCAAGCGAGTGTCGGGATGGGGTCTGTTTCCAACCAGCAGTTTGCAGGTTAAGTTATATTATTGTCGCAGCCCGCCTCGTCTCCGCGATTATTAATAACTAGGGCAGAGCCGGGCTGGGGGCGCAGGGACCCCCCCAGGCGGCCCGGGCTGAGCCCCGGCAGCGCGGCCGGGCCCGAGGCGCCCCTGCCCCGCGCAGCGCTGCGGAAAGCAGCGGGCGTTTACCGGGGTTTTACCCCTTCCAGCCCCGGGATGACCCCACAAGTTTGGGGCCGCCGGGGGTGTTCGGGAGCGGGGGTGGGACGGTGCGAGGGGGCGATGCTGACGGCGAGGAAGAGTTTCTCCAGCGTGGCTTGCTGGGGGCAGGGGGGTTTCGCGTTGGTGTTTTGGGGGAGCTTCCCCCCTTTTGTAAAGATTTTTTTCAAAATATTTTGATTTTAGAAAAAATATTTTTCGTTACTCGTTTGGTCTTTTTGTGTGTGCGTCTGGGATTTTAATTTTTTTTTTTCCTTTTTTAACGTTTTTGAGGGAGAAACGGATTTAGGGCTCCCGCTGCACGCACTGCCCGGGTCGCGCTGGCAGGAGCTGCCTTCGTTTCCTGGGGTGACCCCCGCGCACACGTGGAGGCACAGCTCGCCTCTCTGTTGCTTTTTGGGGCGGTTGGGGATTTTTGGGGCATTTTCCAGCAGGATTGGATGTTCCTGCGCGGGGCGGCTGGGCCGGGGGCACCGCGGCTCCCCAGCCCCGGCTCAGCGGCTCCGCGGGTCTCTCCCAGGTGCGAAGCCGGGCGAGGAGCCGGCCGGAGACTCGCCCAAGGCCGAGAACGAGCCCCAGCCCCTGCACGGCTCCGGCATCTGTAAATGGTTCAACGTCCGCATGGGCTTCGGCTTCCTCTCCATGACCGCCAAGGGCGGCGCGACCCTGGACTCGCCCGTCGATGTCTTCGTGCACCAGGTACGGCCCGGGGTGCCGGGAGGGATGGGGGGCACCCGGCGGAGGATGGGGGCCGGATGGGGACCCCCGTTCCGGATCCCCGGGCCGGTGGAAGCGCCGACACCGCCGCACCGGGGCTGCTCTCCGGGGAGCGGCGCTGAAAGGCGATCCCGAGCCGTTTCGTTTGCCGTGGTTGTTGCTGAGGAGCCCCGCGGGGCCGGGGCCGCAGGTGCCCGCGGGGCCGGAGCGGGGACACCCCGGGAACGGGGGCTCGGGGAGAGGGCGGCGCTGCCCCGGGACCCGCTCCGAGCCGGGCCGGGCCGCGGCACCGGGACCTCTCCCAGCGGAGCCCATCCCGGCACCGGGCGGCTCTGCCCGAGCCCTTTGTCCCGGCGCGGGGGGCACAAAGGCGGCGTGGGTGTCCCCGCGGGTCCGTGTGACAGTGACAGTCCCGGGTGCGGGTCTGACCGCGCTGGGCGGGGACACCCACGCGAGTCCTTCCGAGGGAAGCCGTGGATGAGACGATGAACTCCTCGGATCTCGGGGCAGGATCTGCCGGGAGGTGCCCAGGGGCTGGGGAAGGGTTTGGAGATGGCGCCCGGACCGGGGCTCCGTGTGCGCCCGGACCGGGGCTCCGTGTGCGCCCAGAACGGGGCTCCGTGTGCGCCCGGACCGGGGCTCCGTGTGTGCCCAGAACGGGGCTCCGTGTGCGCCCAGAACGGGGCTCCGTGTGCGCCCGGACCGGGGCTCCGTGTGCGCCCAGAACGGGGCTCCGTGTGTGCCCGGAACGGGGCTCCGTGTGTGCCCAGAACGGGGCTCCGTGTGCGCCCAGAACGGGGCTCCGTGTGCGCCCGGACCGGGGCTCCGTGTGTGCCCAGAACGGGGCTCCGTGTGCGCCCAGAACGGGGCTCCGTGTGTGCCCAGAACGGGGCTCCGTGTGTGCCCCGCACCTCGGGACTGGGGGGGCAGTGAGCACGGGTGATTTTGGGGCAAACACGGGGATTTGTGCCCATGACTGAGAGCAGCGCCGTGCTGCCGCCTGCAGTGGCTGCGGCTGTCCTCGGGCACAAAGCCCCCCAAACTGGGTCCATCCTGCGGGATGGGGACTCAGGACTGAGCTCTGAGGGGCTCCTGGGGCAGGGGGTCCCGGGGGTCGCTCACTCCCTGCCCTCGAGGGGGGCTCCAGGCAGGGCTGGCAGAGAAACGATGGCCAGGGGAGATGCCAGTCCCTTCTCCCTTGGCAGTGGCACGGGCGCAGCGCCTCGGCAGGGGCTGCTCTGCCAGGCACAGCTGGTTTTGGAGCCAAGGGCTCCCAATCAGCCGAGGAAAACAGATCCTGGTGTTCTCCGGAGAGCAAATGGGCCTTTGCATCTCAATGCGGCGCAGCGGGACCCAGCGCTCCCGGGGAGCCCTCCCGCCCCGCTCCGGGGTTTATTGCCCCCAGACAGTCTGGTTTCCTGATTGCTCCTCTCGCATTCCTGCAGGGCAGGGGAATCAGCTGGGGTGGCTCTGTCGGGAGGGTCCCCCTGCCCTGCAGGGTCCCGGTGCCCCCCGGTTCCCCAGGCCGGGGTCCCAGAGACTGCAGCGTTTGGAAACTGGGGGAGCTCTGGGGAAAAGCGGCTTATTTGGGGCGGCAGAGGGGCCGGGGGTGTGGGGGCTCCCCTCACAGCAAAGGCTGTGCCCCACCAGAAGCTTTGGGCTGATGGAGAATCCTCCTCCTCCGGGCCGGGTTTCGCCTCCGGCTCCTCTCGCTGGTGGCACAAAGTCCCAAAGTCCCTGCTGTCCTGCAGGAACAGCCGGGGCTGCTCCCGGTGTCTCTGTCACTGCAGAGCATCTCCCTGCACAGGGAGCAGCTCACGCTGCCACCGCGGCCTCGCTGCTTTTGGGTGGAACCGGGTCCTTTTGGGTGGAATGGGGTCCTTGTCCAGACGCTGTCCCCACCCCGAGAGCCTGAGTCGGCCCCGCTCCCGGGGAGGGAGTCAAAAGCCACCAAAAGCCACCAAAAGCCAGGGGACGAGGCTCGGCTCGGTGTGCCCTGCCCAGCACCCAGCACCCCAAACCAGCTTCGGGGTTAACACTCCAGAGCCCTTCAAACCCCGCTCCTTCCCCTCTTCATTTACATATGTGAATGATGACCCACAGGAAGTAATTGTGGGAGAAAGAAGGGAATTGGCCTCTTTAGATCTATTAAATCACTTTATTACAGGAACCAGGTCTGAATGGCCCCTCTCGGCAGGGAGCGCGTCTCCATCTCCCTCTGCCTTTATCTGATCACAAAGAGATTAAAATCTCGGCAGGACAGGAGACTAACAGGGCTCCTCGGGGCTGCCTTTCCCTCGCATTGTGAGCTAAAAATGAGGCATTTGGGCTCAAATGCCTCCCCTGGGCACTGGAGATGGATTCATTTGGGGGCTGTGAGGAGACAGGAGGGATGAGGCAGAGCAGATCGTCTCGGGGAGGCCGAGGGCTGAGCAGCACCCCTGAGGAAATGGGGATTTGGGGTGGCGGGAATTGGGCTGGTGGTGATGGTGAAGACCCCAAAGGCGCCGTGGTCCCCTCAGGATGCGGCTCCCGGGGTCTGAGCATCACTCCCAGGAGTGCTTGGGAAGGGAACAGGGAAAGAGGGAAAGGAGAAAACCAAGGCTCGGTTGAGCTGGAGGAGCAGCGCTGAGCAGCAGGGCTGGGATTTGGGCTCTGGCTGGGGGCAGAGGGGAAGAGGATGTCCCATGCTTGGAAATCGTTGCTCTCCTCAGCTTGACCCTGCATTTCCGAGCGTTTCCCCCAGCCAGCAGCTCTAAACCCTTGATAAATGCAATTAGTTGGGTGCTTTTGTTCCTTCTCGCGATTTTAGCAAGAAATTCTGCCGGGCACCGTGGGCACCTGGTGGGGACACCAAGCTGTGCCCGTGCTCAGACCCGCTGGGGCTGGGACGGGCATAAAAATGTGGGACCCGTGGGCACATCCCAGCACGGGAGGGGCTCCTGTCCCCTGGGATGGGATGGGATGGGATGGGATGGGATGGGATGGGATGAGCAGGGTGGCAGTGGCCCTTGGGACACGGCTGAGCCCACCTGGGCTGTCACCCACCTGTGCCGGTGCCGGTGCCACGCCGTGCATGCGGCAGGGATAATACAAATAATCATCCACGTGAGCGTGACGTGAGGCCTTTAAAAAAAAAAATCGTGTTTGGAGGCAGCTCCATGGCTGAGCGTGCAGGAAAGGCAGGAGGGGCAGCTCCTCTGTCAGGGAGCATCACCCAGCCTTTCCCTGGGCTGGGGGCAGGATCCGAGCGGGGATTTGGGCTGGGGGCAGGATCCGAGCTGGGATTTGGGCTGGGGGCAGGATCTGAGCTGGGATTTGGGCTGGGGGCAGGATCCGAGCTGGGATTTGGGCTGGGGGCAGGATCCGAGCTGGGATTTGGGCTGGGGAGAGGATCTGAGGGAGGATTTGGGCTGGGGGCAGGATCTGAGCTGGGATTTGGGCTGGAACAGGATCCGAGCTGGGATTTGGGCTGGGGGCAGGATCTGAGGGAGGATTTGGGCTGGGGGCAGGATCTGAGCTGGGATTTGGGCTGGGGGCAGGATCCCAGCTGGGATTTGGGCTGGAACAGGATCCGAGCTGGGATTTGGGCTGGGGGCAGGATCCGAGCGGGGATTTGGGCTGGAACAGGATCCCAGCTGGGATTTGGGCTGGGGGCAGGATCCGAGCTGGGATTTGGGCTGGGGGCAGGATCCGAGCTGGGATTTGGGCTGGAACAGGATCTGAGCTGGGATTTGGGCTGGGGGCAGGATCCGAGCTGGGATTTGGGCTGGAACAGGATCCGAGCTGGGATTTGGGCTGGAACAGGATCTGAGCTGGGATTTGGGCTGGGGGCAGGATCCGAGCTGGGATTTGGGCTGGGGGCAGGATCTGAGCTGGGATTTGGGCTGGGGGCAGGATCTGAGCTGGGATTTGGGCTGGGGGCAGGATCCGAGCTGGGATTTGGGCTGGGGGCAGGATCTGAGGGAGGATTTGGGCTGTGCAGGGCTGAGGGGCAGCGAGGGGAGGGGGAATCCGTGACGCTCCATCCTCCAGGGACACGGGCAATAATATCTCGCTTTTCCTGCTCCCCGTGCTCACCCCCACCCCGGGATCGGGGCACCAGAGGTGCGCATCCCTGGGGAAGGAAGGGATCGAGGAATCACAGATTGGTTTGGCTTGGAAGGGACCTTTAAAGGTCATTTAGTGCAACCCCCCTGCAAGGAGCAGGGAACTCCCGCAGAGATTCCCTGGGGCAGAAATGCTCCTTGGAATCTCTACTTTTTTTTCTTTTTTTTTTTTTTTTTCCTTCTTTTTTTGTGGTGGGAGAGGGGTAGTAGCAATCTCTTTGGTTTTGTTTATGCTGTGGGTTTGGTTTTTTTTAAATAACCGCCGGAATGAAATTGTGTTCCCGATGGGAAATACTGAAAGAGAGCGGCTTTATTCCACCCCTGAAACTCCCTCAAGACGCTCGCACGCACAAAAAAAGCCTCCTGTCTCTGTCTAAAGATTAACTGATGGCCGCAGGCACATCCCTTCCCCCAGCTCCCCCTCCCTGCCCCAGGGACAGAAAACACCCTGGGATGGGCTCCTGATAAAGCGGCCCCGATGAATGGGATGGAGCCGGGATGGAGCCCCCGCCGCCCCCTCAGTTCCCTCTCCCCGTTCCCCGTTCCCTTTCTCCTCAGCATTATCGGGATGGAGCTGGAATCACCCTCGGGGGACGCGCGGCTGCTCCGGGCCGTGCTCCTGCTTTAGGACCGGAGCACAAAATTAACACGCAGCCACTGATCCCAATTAGCTGCCCCTGGGAAGTGCGGGAGGGTTTTGGTGGGGGGGAAAAAAAATACAACCAAAGGAGCTAAAAGGATTTAGGACAGGAAACTGGTGGATTAAACTCTGTGGTAGATGCCTTTTTTTTTTTTTTTTTTCCTCCCGTCGGAATTGGTATCTAGAGTTTAATTTTACCGGCTTGTGGTGGAAAATAAGGCGCAAACATGGTTATTTTGGCAGGGAAATGTCTTTATTTTGATTTCAGCTGAGATCGGTAGGGGTCCTTGGGGATATGGCACCAGATGATGGGGAGGGAGCCAGAGGAAAGGCTCGGTGGTGTTTTGTTAAATCTCTGTTTTGTTAAATCTCTGCCCTCTCCCCGAGGGCTCCGGAGGCATCGCCCTCCTTATCTCTGCACCCGGGGCTGAGCAGGAGCCGAGCACTGCCCGTTTGTGGGGGGCAGGAGGGAGGATTCCTGCTCCGGGCCCTCCCCAAAACCCAAACCCCAACAGCAGCAGCGTCCCTGGAGCTCCTGGCACCGGGAAAGATTGGCTGTAGTTTGGGGACATTGGCTGTGTGATTTGGGACAGGGCAGGGCTTTGGGGACATTGGCTGTGGGATTTGGGACATTGGCCGTGTGGTGTGGGGACACTGGCTGTGTGATTTGGGGACATTGGCCGTGTGATTTGGGACAGGGCAGGGCTTTGGGGACATTGGCTGTGTGGTGTGGGGACATTGGCTGTGTGGTGTGGGGACATTGGCTGTGGGATTTGGGACATTGGCTGTGTGGTGTGGGGACACTGGCTGTGTGATTTGGGGACATTGGCCGTGTGATTTGGGACAGGGCAGGGCTTTGGGGACGTTGGCTGTGGGATTTGGGACATTGGCCGTGTGGTTTGGGGACATTGGCCGTGTGGTTTGGGGACACTGGCTGTGTGGTTTGGGGACACTGGCTGTGTGGTGTGGGGACATTGGCCGTGTGGTTTGGGGACATTGGCCGTGTGGTGTGGGGACATTGGCCGTGTGGTTTGGGGACACTGGCTGTGTGGTTTGGGGACATTGGCCGTGTGACTGGGACAGGGCTTTGCCTTTGGGGACAGGGACGATCCGGGCACAGGCTGTGGGGGCAAAGGGACTTTTCCCTGTTGGATTGGGGACTTGGTCACTGCTCCGGGCTTGGGCCGCTGTAGCTGCAGGACTGCACTGGCCACATCCAGGGGTGATGGGGGCACCCATGGGTGGGGAATTGGGCAATTCAGCCCCAAACCCTCTCACACCCGGGCTGAGCCAAACCTGAGCCCCTGGGGCCGGGAATGCTCCCCGGGGTGGCCCTCGGGGGTCCTGGGGGGCTGAGGGGGGCCCTGGGGGCTGCCCTGTGCCCTGGAGCCGGCAGAAGGAGGGACTGGGGACAGGGACACGGTGGCTCTGGGGACAGGGGGCTGCACGGTGGGTGGTGGCACTGCAGTGGGTGCCAGCTGAGCCAGAGCTCACCACGGACAGGGTACCCCAGGGGTGGGGCATGGCACCCCCGGGGGCTCAGCAGTCCCTGGGCTGCTTTTCCTGACCCTGCTCTGCAGATTGGGGGAAACTGAGGCACGGGCCCTGCCTGCAGCGGGGCTGGGCTGCCCCAGATGCTCTGGGCAGGACTCAGAGGTAGCCCTGGCACAGCTGGGCGCTGCCAGCGCTGTTCCCACAGCCGGGCTCGCCCCAGCATCCCAGCCCGGCCGGTTTAATCTCCGTTTAAAGGGCTCTGCAGGGCCGAGGTGCAGCGGCCGCTCCGCCCCGGTCCCCGCTGGACACAAAGATGGTTTGATTGAGTGGCCGGGAATAAACGTCCCCTTGTGTCCGCTGGGGACAATGGTGACCCCGGGGCCGGCCGAGCCCCTCGGGAGCTGGGGGAGAGCTCGGGGGGCAGCGCTGGCTTTGGGGCGCCCACGGTGCCATCCCTGCGGGACGGGAAAGGGGTCCGAGTGTGGGAGCTGCGAGGAGGGGTTTGCCGGGTGGGAGGAAGAGGAGGGATGAAGGCACCCATGTGCGGGGGGTGGGCAGCTCGGGGCTCACGTGCTGCGGCTTTGTCCGCCCTAAATACCCGGGGACGGGGGGAGAAGGGCAGCGGTGCCCGCTGAGGTGCCCGGGGCCGCTGGTGGAGCTGTGCCCGCTCTGTCCCCTGTCCCCCGGTTAGCTCTGGGCCCGATGGGCACAAGGAAACGCTGGCGTTGGGCTGCGCTTCCTTTGGGACGGCAAAGCTTTGTGAGCCCGTGCCCAGGGCCACCCCACAGCCCCAAAGCACACAGGGGGACTGAGCCTGGGGCTCCCCGAGAGACCCAGAGCCCAAACCCAGACCTTTGTGACCCGGAGCCACCCCACACCCCCAAATCACAGCCACCCCTGGGACTGAGCCCAGAGCCCGAACCCAGAGCCCGAACCCGAGCCCAGGGCCACCCACACCCCCAAACCACAGCCACCCCCGAGACTGACCCCGGAGCTCCCCGATGGACCCAGAGCCCGAGCCCGGAGCCCGCACCCGAGCCCAGGGCCACTCCACAGCCCCAAATCACAGCCACCCCTGGGACTGAGCCCAGCGCCCGCACCCGAGCTGGGCCCGGAGGGGTCCCAGGGCCCGGGGGGGGTCCCAGGGCCCGGGGGGGGTCACAGGGCCCGCGGCCACGCCGGCCGCCCTGCCTCCCCCCGCCGGGGCCTGGAACTCCTGGAATTTGGGCAGCGGGAGCGCGGCCGCCGCCGGCCCTTTGTTCTCCGGCCGGTGGCTCCCGGCCCCGGCCTCCCCTGCGCTCCCCCATCCCCAGCATCCCCGGCCCGCTCCGATCCCCCCCTTCCTCTCTTTATTTTTGGGGGGGGTGTGGGTGTGCGGAGGCCTGGGAAGGCTCCGGCTTTGTGTGTGGTGTGGGACGGGGGCTCTGGGCCCCTTCCTTTCAGATGCAGGAGGTATGCAGCTAATTCAATGGGCTGCAGTTTGATTACCTATCTGATAACAGAGGAATGCCAGCAATGTGTGTGTTTTGGGAAGGGGGCAGGGGGGATGCGCGGGGACCACCGGCCACTCTGCAGCGCACATCAAAAGGCCGAAGGGCAGGAGGGGGAGAGCTGGGACGCCCCAGCCTCTGTCCCCCCCCTTCCCCGGGGAGAGGGCGTTTCCTTTGGCCTTTTGGCGGAGGGGGCTGGGGGCGCTTGTCATCCTCACCCGCTGCTGGAAAATAAATCGCTTCCCCGTCGTGTTGTGGCAGCTTCTGCCTCGTCCCTCCTCTTCCTCCCGGCGGGGCCGAGGGTGCGCGGGGCCGGGCTGCGGCGGAGGGGCGGGGGTGCCCCCGGTGGGGCTGAGCTGGGGGGCGCTGGGGAGCCCCTGGCACGGCTCGGCCTTAGCCCGGAGCTCTGGGAGTTCTCATCCCCGCAGTGTAAACACAGCTGGGCCAGCTGGGGCCGTAAACGCCCCGAGAGGAGCCACGGGAGGCGGTCGGGCTCGGCCCCCCTCCCAGGGCTGCCAGGGAGGGATGCTCAGCCCCTCCTCACCCCCAAACCCTGGGCTGCTGAGGGAATGGGGTAAATCCCCCATTTGGGGCAGCTCCCATTGCCCGAATCACCTCAGGCTGGGGACAGGCCAGGGTGGTGGCTGAGGATGTGCTGGGGCTCCTCTGGGATGTGCTGAGGGCGCTTCAGGGATGTGCTGGTCACAGAGCTCCTGCCCGGGGGATGCTCAGCACGGGTTGCAGTGTTTGGTCACTGTTTGGGGGGTTTGCCGGGGCTGGTGGTGCTGGCACTGTCCTGGTGGGGCTGGCACTGCCCAGGTGCTGCTGGCACTGCTCCGGGTGGGCACAGGGGGCTGTGACACTCTGTCACATCCTTGCTGTCATTTGGGACCCCAGAGCTCAGGTCTGGCTCTCCCGTGAGGCAGCTCAGAGAGCAAAGGAGGGTCCCTGTGGCCACCGAGGGTCCCACCCCAGCAGCCAAGGGGATCCAGGGCCTGGGGGTGACTTGGGGTCTGTCCCACCCTGGGCTGCACCCCCAGGCACAGAAAAGCAGCAGAAAAAGGGGGCTCAAGGCTCGCTCCTCGAGCTCTGCTGCGCTCCCATTCTCTCGAACACAGGGACACCCGGCAAGACCCTGCCAAGAAAAATTCCCTCCCAAAACCCAACAGCTCCGTTCCTCCCCTCTCTGTTTTTCCGTGGGCTGTTCCCCGTGACTCCCGGCGGGATTCAGAGCAGGGATGGGAGCAGTCGGTGCCTGCCGGTCCCGCCTCGCTCCCGGAGCCTCGGGAGAACGGGAGAACCGGAGAGCGCACACGTGACGGGAGCTCTCCGGCCGTGAATAGGACACGCTCCATTCATAAATGCAGGGTGGTGCTGCGGCCGCGCAGGCGTTGGGGATCCCCAGGGCAGAAGCAGCAGCTGCTCCTCCCTCTGAACTCGGCAAATCCCCTGAATTCGCTGCCGGAGCTCGCTGTGGCTCGGGGGATGCCGAGCTGGAGCTGCTTGGGCAGAGCAGCAGGGATGCTCGGGGCTCAGGTGATGAGAATTCTTGCCCCCGAGCAAAGCAAAGCACAGGGGTGACAATTCCTGCCTGCCCCCGGGATGCTCAGGGCACAGAGGGACAGAGCTCCCCCCTGCCTCACCCAGCCCTGCTCCCTAAGGATTTGTTCTGCTGAAATGGACAGAGCCCCTCAAAGTGGAATGGGGTTCTCCTGTCACCTCACAACCCTCCCTTCCCAGCCTGGGTTTTTCTTGGCTCCCTTGCTTTGATTGTGTGGTGATAACCGACGTGGTGTTCCTGGAAGGAATGGGAGAAGCTCCCAGCAGTGATAACCCTGTGCCAAATGGCTGCTTAATTAATTATTGCAGGCAGTTAAAGGGCTTGAGCTGGGCTGAGCTGTGCTGGGGGAACAGTGCCAGCCTGCAGCCTCCTGGCCTTGCCACAGGGCCTGCCACTCGTACCACTGGGCAAAACCCCGAGATGCTTTTGTATTTAAAATAAGCAGAGCCAAGGGACAGGCAGAGGGGACATTTGCAGCTCTGGGGTGCAGGAGGGCTTTGTGCTGTGCCTGCAGAACACCCAGCTCTGTGCTGACCCCCGTCTCGCCCTGTGCCCCTCCCCAGAGCAAGCTGCACATGGAGGGATTCCGCAGCCTGAAGGAGGGCGAGGCTGTCGAGTTCACCTTCAAGAAATCATCCAAAGGCCTCGAGTCCATCCGGGTGACCGGGCCCGGGGGCGTCTTCTGCATCGGCAGCGAGAGGAGGCCCAAGGGGAAGAGCCTCCAGAAGCGCAGATCCAAAGGAGACCGGTGAGGGCTGGGGCAGGGCCCGCGGGCACCGGGAGCTGCCCGGGCACCCCGGGATGGGCACGGGCACCGGGATGGGCACGGGGCCAGGCCACAGGCGGTGACCCCGGGGCTGGGACAGCAGCTTCCTGAGGTGCCTAATGAGCGGCAGATGCAGCTCGGTGGGGAAGGGGCAGGGGAGCAGCAGGAGGGGCAGAGGTCAGGGACACCCCTGGCAGCCCTGCTGCGATGGGCAGCTTGTCCAGGAGCAGCCCTTCCTTGTGGGGAGGAAAGCACGGCGGGATGGGAGCCCCGGGCATATTTCTGGCCAGCCCTTCATCCCCCCTCTCTCATCCTCTCCATCCTCTCCCATCCTGGCTGCCTGGGGATGCCCCATCCCAGTTTTCCCAGTGGATGCTGTCCCCCCCACTCAGCTGTTCCCATAAACAGGATTTTAAATTAATCAGAAAGGAATTGTGAAGGAAAAGGAAAGAGAAAAGGGTTGTGGCCGTCCTGCATGGATGCAGGATTTGAAATGGACACAGGGCAGCTCCCTCTGCTCCGGTGTGAGGGTGGCACCCCTGGCACTGTCCCCACACGATGACAGCTGGGGATGCCATCGTTCCTTGGCCTGTTCCTGGGGCAGTGTAACCCAGGAGTGGGGTCTGGAGACACCGGAGCCAGGACACTGATATCCCCAGAGGGATGGAATCCCCACATCCCGATCTGTGTGTGGCCTCAGCGCAGCGGTTTGCTGCCATCTCCTGGGTACCAGCAGCACCACTGAGCCCCACGGGCCGTGCTGGAGCTGGGGCTCTGCAGGGACCAACCCTGGGGCCACCACCCGCCCCAAACACCGAGCCCAGCTCTGGCTGAGGAGCCAGGCACGGTCACAGCATCCTCCCGCCTCATTCTGCTTCTCCCCTCGCCCAGGTGCTACAACTGCGGCGGGCTGGACCACCACGCCAAGGAGTGCAAGCTGCCCCCGCAGCCCAAGAAGTGCCACTTCTGCCAGAGCATCAGCCACATGGTGGCCAACTGCCCCGCCAAAGCACAGCAGTCGCCCAGCTCGCAGGGCAAGCCCGCCTACTTGCGAGAGGAGGAGGACACGCACGGCCCGGCGCTGCTCCCCGAGAGCCGCGAGTGATGCGGGGGGCACGGGGGGCTCCCACCGGGGGGACGAGGCTTTGGCAAGGCAAGGGGCACCGAGGGGACGGCGAGGGCAGCGCTGGCAGCGGGGACCCGGCGTCCCTGCACACACCTTCCCCCCACGGCCAGGCTGGGAGCAGCCCTGTTAGCATCAGGATGGCGTGCTCCAGAACAGGGGAAGGCAGCACCCCACACGCTAAAACCCCAAACGTCCTTGGTTACTCTTTATTCCTTTCCTAAGTCGAGCCAGGCAGCCGTGTCAGGGGAGGAGGAGCAGAGGGGAACACTCAGGGAGGAGCTGATGGCTCCTTGTCCTCCTGAGCTGCACAGAGGCTCTGCAGACGCAGGGTGAGCTGGGGAGAACCTGCTCCTGTCCCAAGGGAGGTGAGGGCAAGGCTGACCCGAGCAGCACCAGGGAGATGCCCGTGGGCCGGTCCCGCGGCTCCCTCTGCTCCTCGGGGCTCTCACTTCCAGGGACGTGTGAGGATTTGTGGTTCCTCCATGGCTGTTTCATTGTTGGGCCCGGATTTGGGCTCGGTCTGGGAGGAAATGGATCCTCTCTCGGGGCTGGATAACACCACCAGTCTGTGGGCTGCGAGCTGCAGCCTAGGGGAGAGCAAACCTAAGGAAAAACATTTAATTTCCTCCAATCCTCCCCAAGTGCCAGCCCAGAGAGCACAAGGTGCTTTATGCAGCCAGCTCTTCCCCTCTCAGGCTTCTCCCAGCCTCTGGATCGTGGAGCTGGGGACACCCCAGTGCTGGGGACACCCCAGTGCTGGGGACACCCCTGTGCTGGGGACACCCCTCCATTGGGGACACCCCAGTGCTGGGGACACCCCTGTGCTCCTCCTGCCCTCCCCACGCTGCAGACCCTGCTGCCCCTGGGGATGAGCCTCCCCAGGGACACGGGACAGGGCTGTCCTGGGTTAGTTCTGTCCCTGTCCCGGGTCAGTGGCTGTCCCTGTCCTGGGTTAGTGGCTGTCCCTGTCCCGGGTCAGTGGCTGTCCCCATCCCGGGTTAGTGGCTGTCCCCATCCCGGGTTAAGGGCTGCCCCTGTCCCGGGTCAGTGGCTGTCCCTGTCCCGGGTCAGTGGCTGTCCCCATCCCGGGTTAGTGGCTGTCCCCATCCCGGGTTAAGGGCTGCCCCTGTCCCGGGTCAGTGGCTGTCCCTGTCCTGGGTTAGTGGCTGTCCCCATCCCGGGTCAGTGGCTGTCCCCATCCCGGGTCAGTGGCTGTCCCTATCCCGGGTTAGTGGCTGTCCCTGTCCTGGGTTAGTTCTGTCCCTGGCCCAGGTTAGGGGCTGTCCCTGTCCTGGGTTAGTTCTGTCCCTGTCCTGGGTTAGTGGCTGTCCCCATCCCAGGTCAGTGGCTGTCCCCATCCCAGGTCAGTGGCTGCCCCCTGTCCCAGGTCAGTGGCTGTCCCCATCCCAGGTCAGTGGCTGCCCCCTGTCCCAGGTTAGTGACTGTCCCCATCCCAGGTCAGTGGCTGTCCCCATCCCAGGTCAGTGGCTGTCCCCATCCCAGGTCAGTGGCTGTCCCTGTCCCAGGTTAGTGACTGTCCCCATCCCAGGTCAGTGGCTGTCCCCATCCCGGGTCAGTGGCTGTCCCTGTCCTGGGTTAGTGGCTGTCCCTGTCCTGGGTTAGTGGCTGTCCCCATCCCAGGTCAGTGGCTGTCCCCATCCCAGGTCAGTGGCTGTCCCCATCCCGGGTCAGTGGCTGTCCCTGTCCTGGGTTAGTGGCTGCTGTCCCCCCATCCCCAGGGCCCCCCAAGCCTTGCCTGTATTTATTGGCCCCTGTGGACCCCCCCCGTCCCAGGAGCCCCCCAAGGCCAAGTGAAAGCTGCACTAGGACGTGCGTGAATGACGTATCTTTGGGTTTGTTTGTCGTCTTTGTTTTTGGGTTTGTTGGTCTTTTTTTTTTTTTTTTAATATAAATATTCTGGGTTTTGTATTTTTGTATATTTTAATCTTTAAGAAAAGAAAAGGGAAAAAAAGGAAAAAAAAAAAAAAAGGAGAGAAAGGACATAATTCCTGCAATTTATTCTCAGGTATTCGAGCAATCTCAGGGATAAAATGCCTCTGTAGCCCAGTGCTGGACAGAGAGGAGGGTTTTTTCTAACAGCACAAAGAAATGATGAAGTTTGTACTGGAAGTGTAGATCTACCTCACTGGATGTTTGCTAGGTGGGCTGACGTGTTGTCGAGCTTTTCAAATGTGTTTTTTGGTATGATTGGGATTTGTTTTCTCTTTAACTGTATTGTAGTGGTGTCTTTCCCTTCCCCATGCACTGGTGGAGGCGTTTGGGTCTGTGGATTTGCATGTGGGGATGGAGGAGCCAGGCAGTGCCACGGGCAGGGAACAGGGAACGTGGGCATTGAGGGGGATGGAGAGCAGCCCCAGCTGCTCCCTGCCCTGCTCCAGTAGTTTAGGGTGAGGTGGTGGTCTCTTCTTGGGAGAGGGGGGAAGGACTTTTAATTTTTTTTGTCTAGCAACGGGATCTGTACAAAACTGCTTCAGGAAAACAGCTTTAGTCTGACGGGGTAAATGCAATAGAGCCTTGGGTGGGGGGGGGGGGGGCTCTGGGCCTCCCCCCGGCACCTCGGCTGTGCCAGGGAAACTGCTGCCCCCCAATCCCTGTGTCTGCCCCCCTGATTCCTGTATGTGCCCCCAGTTCCTGTATCTGCCCCCAAATCCCTGTATGTGCCCCCCTAATTTCGTATCTGTCCCCTCAATCTCTGTATCTGCCCTCAAATCCTGTATCTGCCCCCAATTCCTCTGTCTGCTCCCCCAATTCCTCTGTCTGCTCCCCCAATCCCTGTGTCTGCCCCCAATCCCTGTATCTGCCCCCCTCAATCCCTGTGTCTGCCCCCCCCAGTCCCTGTGTCTGGCCCAATCCCTGTATCTGCCCCCCTCAATCCCTGTATCTGCCCCCCTCATCCTCATCTATCCCCAAGGATCCTGTAGGACCTTCCCCCCCGCCGCTCCCCCTTTAATGGTTTGGTGATTTCTCTGTCAGATGTCTCGTGTGTGTAAATACCTCTCTAAACCTTTCCACTTTCTCTCAGTATTCTCCTTGGTTATTGTTTACAAAAAATAAGAGGAAAAAAAAAAGATAAAAAAAGGAAAAAAAAAAATAGAAAATATCCAAAGCATGTACCAGGTTACGGAGCAGGGAGATGGAGGTGCTCTCCCCCCAGAGCTGCCAGGTGGGAGCTCTGTAACCATCCCTGCCCTGGGCAAAGCAAACAGGGAATCATTCAGCTTTCCCCCGGGGCGATGGGATCTGAGAAAACAGGGATTTTTAACAGGGATTTTTATCTGTGCTGGGAAGCCACGCTGGAGGAGACGGGATTGATTCGCATCTCCTCGTGTTGGCCATTGTGGCTCTTCCCTTCTGCTGACAATAATTAACTCGATTGCTGCATCATGGCCCACCCTGCCCACGGGCACTATGCATGAGGGGACAGGGGAGCATGGGGCACGCTCAGGGTCCTGCCGTGACACGGGAGTGTTTGAATGTAGAAAATGTGAGAAATAAATGTAGAGAATGTGAGAAATAAAACAAAGACGTCCCTCACGAGGGGGTGTCTGCCCTGGGACGAGAGCCTTGAGTCCCAGAAATGTCCAGAGGAGACGGAAGAATGTAATCCATGTTGTTTACTGCTAGCAACCAAAGCGTTCGTGTCAAACCCGTGAAGTTTTACAGGGTGGGAGGGAGGGGATGTGGGGTCTGTGTGTGTGTGTGGGGCTCAGGGTGACCCTGAGCAGTTACTCACACTTCCCAAAGACATTTCCTGCCGTGGTCCCTGCAGCGACATCCTCAGCTCCTGCTGCTGCAGGTTTCCCCCCCTTCTGCTCGTTTTATTTTTGTTTTTGTACCAACTATGTAAAATGTGGGGTTTTTTTTCTTTTCTGGAAAAAAAAATTAATAAAGACCATGGGCAATGGCTGCTGGTGATGTTCTGTGTGTGGTCACTTGTGGTTTTTTGTGTGGGTTGAGGAGCCCAGGGAACCAGATCCCACCTCCCCAAAAGTGCCCCAGCCCTGCCACAGAAACACAGAGCGGTTTGGGTGGAAGGGACATTAAAGCCCACCCAATAATCCCACCCCTGATATGGCAGGGACATCTTCCGCCTCCCAGGCTGTTCCAAGCCTCCACGTCCAGCCTGGCCGGGGACATTTCCAGGGATCCAGGGGCAGTCACAGCTGCTTTGAGAACCCCTACGCTCACAAAGGGACAATTTCCTGCCCCTCCACGCTGCTCTCTGTCCCTGTGTAGCCGTTCCCGTGTCCTGTCCCTCACCATCTCCCCCCCCTCGCACAGCTCCCCCGCCGCCATCTTCCCCTCCCCTCACGGCCCCCCCGCCCCTGCGCACGCGCGGGCCCGCCCCCGCCACGCCCCGTCCGGCGCGCGCCGCCGCGTGACGTAAGCGGAAGGGCACGTCACCGTCCGGCGGAGGCTGAGGCGGCGCCGCCGGGGCAGGTACCGGGACCGGGAGGGACCGGGGAGAGCCGGGGCTGCCCCGGGGCATAATGGGGCTTACCGGGGCTGAGCGGGCACGGCGGGAGCGTGGCGGGCGGGCTGTGTCTCCTTCCGCCGTGCCTCTCCCGCCGGCGGCCGTGTCCCTCCCCTCACGGAGCCGGCCGAGGCCTGAGGGACGCCCCGTCCCCACCGTGCGCTTCCCGCCCGGGAGGGCACGGGGGGATCCCGGGAGCGGAGGCACCCGCAGGGTCTGGCTGTGCTCCCCGCTCTCGGCCGGCTCCGCTCGCTGCCGGCGGCGGGACGGGGTCCCGGGGGCTCCCGGGGAGCGGGCGCGGCCTCTCTGAAGGGCGCTGTGCGGGAGCCCTGGGTCACACCGGCCGCCGTTCGGTGCCCGTCAGCAGCCAGCGGTGGTGCTGGGGGAGCACTGCCCGAGCCCCTGCCCGAATGCAGCGGTTCCCTGCCCTGATGTTTGTGGCTGTGGGTAGGGGTCCCCTCCTGAGGGAGCAGGCCGAGAAAGCCCACACGGAGAATAAACTCACGAGTGTAACTCGATCTGCTGCTTCCCCTGCACGGTGGGATGAAGCCCAGGCCGTTGGTCTGGGCTGTTTGTGCTGGTTTGGGTCTGTACGGACCAGCCCTGCAGGCTGCAGCACTCGGGGATGGTTCTCCTTGCACCAGCTGGTGCAGAATCCACTCAGATTACACAGCTGGAAAATTCCAGAGCCTGTTTCTGAGCTTCCCCACGGCCTGCTTATAAAAGGACTCGCATAGACAATGTAAAGGGCTCCAGGGCAACAATCAGAGCTGATTTTTCCCAGGTGGTTTGTTTGCTTTGGGCTCAAACAACCACCTTTAACCCCTTTATTTTCATCTTCCCTTTGATAAAGGAGCTCTCAATAAAAAATGTCATGGATCAGAGAGGGCGAGCTGACCATCATAGAGAGGTTCTGTGCCAACATCATCAAGGTAAGGGATGGGTTTGGGTGGATTTTGTGGTGAGGAGCTGGCAGGTTCTTCAGGGTGGAAATGACTCTGTGGCTGCAGAGCTCTGGAAAGGCAGAGTTGTTGGCAAGGCTACATTTAGTGCTGGCACTGGATGTGCATCCCTAAACTCCATCCCAGGCTGGGAGATTGCTTGGGCTTAGCCTTGCAAATGAGCAGGACTGCAGGCAGTGCTTGCCAATAAGGATCTGTGCCCTTGCTGAGGAAGGCAGGGCATGGGAAGGAGGGAGAGAAGAGAGATCCTCATGCTCTCAGGGAGTTTAAGGAAGGAAACTGAGTATTGGAACAAAATCTCACCAGTTCCAGGAAAATTCTCTCCTTGCTCAGGCTTGAGACTGGTGGTGCTGCCCCAGTGAGGTCAGTGGAAAGGAACACTGCTCTTTGTGGGGGGAAGTCTTATGGCCTTTTCTTGTGTTCTCTGAAGGTAACTGTGTCTAAAAAGGCTCTTGAGCTCTGAGATAAGAATTGCAGCATAAAGCCCTGTGTGCCCCTCCCTGGCTGCAGCTGTGGCAGCACTGCAGCTCTGTCCTGAGGAATGGGGAGGGCAGAGCTGCCTTCCAGCTCAGGCCCTTGTCAGCACTGAGCTGTTCCTTTGGAGACCCCAGACTGGGCTTGGCAGGGAGGAAACCAGCACCCTGCTCCTTCCAGCTGCAGGGGACAGGGTGGGCTCTCAGCGGGACAGCCCTGCTCACCTGCTGCCCTGCTGTGCCTCTCCTGTCTGCAGGCAGGCCCAATGCCCAAGCACGTCGCCTTCATCATGGACGGCAATCGCCGCTACGCCCAGAAGTGCCACGTGGAGAGGCAGCAGGGACACTCCCAAGGCTTTGACAAGCTGGCACAGGTGGGGAGGATGTTTTCTGTATTTGTGTGGTGGGAGTTTGAGCTGGGGTTGCTGCTGGACTGGTGTCCTGTGTTCCTTCTCTCCACTCTTCTGTGCTTGGAGCTGCTGTTCATCATCAGGATTCACAAATCAGCTCCTCCCTCTCTGTGTTATCCTGCAGAGTCATTCTATTCAGCTGCTTTTCCTTCTGTTCTGCACTCAATTAAAGTATCTACCTTACAGATCCCAAGGCTTTTATTTCTGTGAAACAGGTTGACTTTCTCTGAAACCATTTTGAAAAGTGCACTGTGACATAATTTATGGTGCTTTTCCTGGCTGGATGAGTCCCCTGTGGTGGACTGTCATCCTCAGGTAGGGATATTTTCCTCCTGTTCTTTAAAATGAATCTGAAGTTCACATCTAGGGGTTCCATATTTTTGATAGTCATTTATTTTGCTCCAGTCCTGGCCTGGTGGGAGACCACAGGAGGGTTTCACATGGAGCAGTTGTGTCCTGCTGGCCTGATGGTCACATTTTGTCGCCTTGCAGACGCTGCGGTGGTGCCTGAACCTGGGCATCCGGGAGGTGACAGTCTATGCCTTCAGCATTGAGAACTTCAAACGCTCCAAGGAGGAGGTGGATGGGCTCATGGACCTGGCCAGACAGAAGTTCAGCCGCCTCCTGGAGGAGCAGTAAGAGCCCCCACGGGTGGAACTGGGGCAGGACACCATGAGTGGCAGGGATGTTCCAAATTGTGAGAATCCATTAATGAGGAGAGCCTTCCCCACCCGCAGTCAGGGACTGGAGGGGCTGTGCCTCCCTGGGTGGGGTGTACAGCTCTGTGCATGCACGCTGCCCCTGCACATCACATTTGGGACAACTGTGCCACCCAAACCATGGGGACAAGGACAGCTTTCAGATAAACAATCAGAATCACAGAGCACAATCAGAAACACTGAGTGACAGATGGTGTTTTCATGAAATATCAAAGCTCTGTCTTAATTTTTGGTTAGTTAGAGGTGCCCAGAGCCTGTGGTTGTACTCTAAGCCTCCACAGGTAGGGATGCCTGGTCTGTGATCATGTCCTGTCCTTTGGTTATGTCTGTACCTCAGGAGGAGGTGTGGGGAATGGTCACTGTGCCTTCATGGAATGCTTTGGGATCATCAAATCTCAGCCAGCTTGGCACACCTGAAAAGCATTTGGTGGTTTTGCCTCTCTCCAGTCCCAGCTTTGCTGAGGCTGTGGGTGGGTGTTGGCACTGTGCAGTAGGGCCTGATGTGTTTTCTGTGCTCCCCATCTGTTGGGTGCAGGGAGAACCTGAAGAAGCACGGGGTGTGCATCCGTGTCCTCGGGGACCTGCCCCTCCTGCCCGTGGATATCCAGGAGCTGATTGCCCAGGCTGTGCTGGCAACCAGGAACTACAACAAGTGAGTGACACCAGTTCAAAGGGCTGACAGTTCACGTATTCCTCCTCCTCCTGAGGGCTGGAGCTTGTCAGACATGCTGCACCTCTTTTATTCTTGGTCCTACAAGCACGCATCACTGTCGTGTGCTGGGCATTCCCAGGATGAGCCTCTCACAGCGTTTCCTTGTGCAGGTGCTTTCTGAATGTCTGCTTTGCTTACACATCGAGACATGAGATCAGCAATGCTGTCAGGGAGATGGCCTGGGGCGTGGAGCAAGGCCTGCTGGAGCCCAGGTAACTCTTGGCTTTCTGTGTGGGGCTTTGGGGTGAGTCCTGCCTGCCTCACCACTCACGGCAGGAGAAACCTCTCAGAGGCCAAGTGGCTTTTAAATAGATCTCATTAAACAGGCGGGACTGGAACAAATGACTTAAAGTTACTATGCAGTGTTTGGCTTTTATTATTTCAGTTACCATGGTGATAGATACACAACCAAGGCAGAAGAGAAATTAGGTCTGTGTCTTAAGTTAGTTTAAATGTGAAGGCAGATTTTATGCCACAGCAATTGGCTGCTTGGCTGACAGTCTTAGCTATGAGGTCAAACAACAGATGAATCATGAATGCTGCACTGTTCCTCCACCCTGAAGGAGAAGGAATAGTTACTCTCTGCTCCCTGCTGCAGATGGAAGCCCTCACAGTCTGCTTCCACCACTGTGTTATGTTTCAAAGAGCATGGAGTGGGATGCTCTGGGGGCTGAAGCAGCGTTTGGAATAGCCTGTGGAGCAGACAGCAGTGTCTAAAAGAAGCAAGTGGATGGCTGACTGTGGTTTAGCTCTCCCACCCAGTTTTAATTTGCAGCCCTGAATTTACAGAAAACCCCTTAGTTCTGGTTTGTGGCACATCCATCAGGCCAGGAAGGGTGTGTGACAGGCTGTGTCTCTTTCAGTGACGTGTCTGAGTCGCTGCTGGATAAATGTCTGTACACCAACAACTCCCCCGACCCTGACCTGCTGATCAGGACCTCTGGGGAGGTTCGCCTCAGTGACTTCTTGCTCTGGCAGGTAAAGTCTCTTTTCTCTCCTTGGGATATTCCACCTTTGCCTCAGAGGGTGCTGCTGTTCCACTGACTCCAGGTGCAAGCAGATGTGAGGGCTCTGCATCTCCTTCTGCTGGGGTCAGGTAACTTCCAGCATGGGCTGAGTGCTGGGGCACCTCTGAGCAATCTGTGTCTGGCAGATCTGTGTTTGCCTAAAATCATGAATTCTCATCCCTTGGCTCCTCTCCTCACCTTTAGATAATTTCTTGTTTGTAGAGAACATTTGAGTGGAATTGCTTCAGCTGAAGCTCACGTGTTATTGTACATGTACAGTTTGGAGCCAAAACCAAATTGCCTTTAGGCAACCACATCAAATTATTCCCATTCCAAATGATTTAATTGGCAAGTTCTCAGAAGTTGTCTGGCCTGAGCTGTGCTTACCTACCAAGGCATCCCCTCTCCTCCCCCTGTTTTTGGGCACACCCATACCCTGGGTGGTGTTGATGCTGTGAAATAACACTTGGCTTGCTCCTCTCGGTGGTACAGGAGTCCTGTTAAGTGTTGGATTGTTTTAGCAGTCATCATAGGAACACATTCACCTCAAACTCTGAGGAACTTGGTGGCAGAAATAGGTTTTGACTTGAAACCTTTCATCTTCCAGCTCAAGGATGTCTTCAGTGCCCCACAGCTCTTGGCTCCATGAAGCACTTTAAATGCCATGAGTGGGCAGTAAGGAATATCATGAGATGTCATTTGAAGAATGGCTTAAATGTCATGTCCTGATCCTCAGTTCAACTGTTATTCCCTCAGCCTTTGGTACTCCAGTGTTGCTATTTTAGGGTTTTTATAAGTCTGTGATGCTTAAGCTATTAAAAATACCTCTCTGAAGAGCAACACAGCATTAGAAAGAATTCTGCTGATGCCTTTGCAGGAGTGGATGACTGGTGTCCCAGCATTGAAAACGAATTAGAAGGACTCTACACTGTGCAATTTCAGACTCTCCTAGCTGCTTTTTACCTCACTTTAAGTAGAATCTGATAACAGGCTAGGTGAAACCTTTATGGGGAAAGTGGCACAGTTTGCCCAACAGAGTTGCATCTTAATGAGTTTTTCTCTTGCTCAGTGATTAAATTGTTGGTGATCTTGCTTTCTGCAGACATCCCATTCATGCCTGGTGTTTCAATCAGTCTTGTGGCCAGAATATTCCTTTTGGAACTTGTGTGAAGCTATCCTTCAGTTCCAGATGAACTACAGTGCTTTACAGGTAAGGAGCCTTGGGGAAGTGGGAGGCCCAGTCCCATGTGTTACCTGCACAGCAGCTGAGCTCAGGTGAGAGGCTGCAGAGGGGGAGCAGTGGTTGTTAGCTACCATCTTGTTTCAGTAGCAGCTCATGTGTTGCTCCTCCTGTACCCCTGAGGTTTGTTACAAGGTCTTGGTGTGTGACCAGGCTCCTCTACTTTCAGCAAGACCCAGAATCTCCAAAGTCAGCCCTGTCTCTGTCACTCATTGCAGCAGCTGGAGCATCTGTGCCAGGGCTCACACACCCAGTGGGCACTGCTGGTGTGCCACAGGGTGAGACCTGCACTCACACTGCACCAAGCAGGGAGTACTCACGTGCTCTTCCTCCAATTCACTGTTGTTTTTAGGGCTGTAACAAGGGGGTGTAGAGTTTCCTTTCTGGGAGCTGGAATGAGGCAGCCTGAGCTGTGAGTCTGTGGACAAGTGTCCCCTTTCTGGTGGGTCCAGATGTACCTGCTGAAGGGATTGTTCCTCCTGCTCACTGACGTTGTTCCTCTCCTTTTAGATCTGTTGCTGTGAGCTCTCCCTGACCTGGTTGTGGCCAGTTCAGTAGTGAGATAGGAGTTTGGCTATTTTTAAGCAAAACCAGTGTGGGAGCTGGGACTCCTGCTGGATAAATGTGGGGGGCAGCAGCAGTGACTGGCAGAAGGACCTCAGGGTGGCAGCTCTTCATCCCCACCACATCTCGCTGCTCAGTGTGTCTGTTCCTTAATTATTTGGGTCCTCTTTTTAAAAGCAGGCATTCCACTGCCCTTTTCTACCTTCAGGGACCTTGCTCACCCCTGAGAGTTGTCAAAGAGATTATAGCCAGTTGTGGCTATGGCTGAATTTAATCAAGTGCAGCCAGTCTGGCAGCATCCAAACACTCCATGTCCTTAACCTCTTTTGTTCCTATTTCTGGCCCAAGTCTGCCCTTTTCCTACCAGCAATTCATTGTGTTAGTACAGCTAATGGCAGTTCACCTTCTGCATGAAGAGGGAAGCAGAAAAGGCAGTAGTGTTTGTCATTGCCATGAGCTTGGCCTCTGTCTGGAACAGTAAGGTCACTGTTCTGACTTTGCTCCTGGTGCTGGTTTCTGACAGGCAACAAATGCAGCTTCTGTTCCCAGCTATTCTCAGCTTTTCTTAGTTCTGGTTGGTGGCTGGATGTGTTCATGCCATGCTATTATCAAGGTTTCTCATTGTCCACATTTGTCCTCTGGTCAGTTTTCCCCTGTAAGAGCCACTTTGCAGTGTCTGAGGCTGCCCTTTTCTCCAGGGAACCCTCACAATTGTGCAAAGGGAGGACTTCTCCCTCTGAGGAGCTGAGATTTAGGAGCTGGATCTTTTTAAATTTAAAACAGGTGACCTTGAAATCCAAAAGAGGTCACAAAGTAAATTCTCTTGGTGGGAAGGTTGCTGTCAGTGAGGATGGTGGGGCCGGGGGGGACTTGCTGAGAGGCCAGATGTTCTACAGCAGCTGTGTTTGCTTTGGGAGTGTGCTGCTGCTTTTGGGGTGTGGATGGGCAGCAGGATGGAAGGGGTGACAAGGTACAGAAATCCCCCTTGATTTTCAGGTAGTGGACAAAAGAAATCCTCCTTCCATCAGCTCACCCAGCATCACTTTCAGTGGCTGCCATTTTATTTCCCAGCTGGTTGTTGCTCTCCATGGAGTCCCAGCATCAGGTGGAGCCTGCTTTTGGTACCTGGTAGATCTGGGAAGGAATGCAGGGCTTGGCTGGCCAGCCTGCCCCTGCAGGGGTGAGCTGAGTCTTTCCTGGGCCATAAACAGAATTGAGCTTTGAGGGATTGAAGTCTCCTGCTCAGCAGGCTCTTGGTGATCCTTGCAGTCAGCCTGAGTGCATCCATTCAGTGGGTTTGCTGGGGATATTTCTGCTCACACTGCCAGCACAACAAGAGCTAATTTCCAGAGCTGTAGCTGCCTTGGGCTCAGGAAAAGTGTGGGGATGAGTGAGTCAGGCTCTCATTACAGTAATTATTCTTCTTGCTTGCTTGAAAGACCAGCACTTCCCAAGTGTGTGTGTGTGTCAGTTTATGTCACAGTGACCAGTTTTACAGTTTTTAAAAATAGAACCTCAATATTCCTGCCTGCTGATGTGTCTTTGCTGCTGGAAGCTGCAGGCCAGGATGTGTGCAATAAGGAGAAATCTAAAAGTGATGTTCTACAAGAAAACATTTCAAATACTTGGGTAGACAAGGATGGCTCCTGCCTTTGCCTCTCTCCTGCTGTGTCTCAAGCCAGTACACCCTTAGATCACAGAAATTTGGGAATGCTGAGCTTATTCCTGCTTTTGTTTTAAAGCTGATAAGCTCAATACTGGATCATCTCAAAGAACTGCCCTGCAAGTCATGGTTTGGAATCCCCTAAAACCTTTCAGCAGCCAGGGGAATAGGATCAAAAATGCTGTGATAACAGTGGTGAGTTAGATAAGAGTGTGCATGTTGGGGTTCAGGAGTTCTCCTGTACCTGTTCCGCTCTGATTCCAGTATCTGAGGGTTTTCCCACAATCTGTCCTGACTTTTATCTGTTCTAACGAGGAGTTCATGCTCTGAGCAGAGCTGTGTGTGGGAGGCCAGGCCCAGGAGGACACCCCTGTGTTTTTGGGCAGGCTGCCTCAAGGTGGAACAGGCAGAGCCAGAGTGAAGCTGCAGCCCCACGGCCGGGCAGAGGCTGTTTGTGCCCTGTCCCACAGGTGAGCTAAGGTGCTGACACTCCTGCTTTTCCCTCCAGAAGGCCAGAGACTCCTACCTGGAGGAGAGGAGGCGGCAGCAGCTGGAGAGGGACCAGGCGTACGTGAGCAGGAGGCTGCGGCAGGAGGGCTGCCTGTCCCACGCAGACTCGCGGCGCCGGCGCTCGCTGCTGCAGAAGTGCACAGCCCTGAGGGAGGAGAGGATCCGGGGCTTCCTGCAGGCCCTGGAGCACAAGAGAGCTGACTTCTTGGAGAGACTGTGTCCGGTGTCTGCGTGACACGGGCGTGGCCCTGGGAGCACAGCCTGCAGGGCGAGCCGTGGGCTGCGCCGGGAGCTCCGGTCCCGCGGCCCTGCCCGGGCAGGGGTGGCTGCTGGGAACTCTGCTGGCCTGTCAGGCTGCTGGGGAAGGTGCTGCCGTCCTGTGTCACCTCCCTGCCCTGGTGACAGAGCCCTGCACCCTGCTGGGCCCTTGGCAGCCCAGTGCTCCGGTGACAAGAAGTTAACTGCAATGAGCCTGCCCCAGTTCTCTGGTTGCTCCTGAGCTGGCCCAGCCAGACCAGTTCAGTGCTGTTAAATCAGTCTGGGCTCGTGTTCTTTCCCTGGCTCTGCAGCAGGGAATCTCCTGTTGAGATGTGCTCTGCTGTCCCATCAAGGGAGAGGATTGTTCTGGTGTCAGGGGCATTCCCCCCTGCCTGCTCACTGAGAGCATCTCGTCTTTTCCCCCTGACTGCTGGGTGGGATGTGTCCACTCCTGGTCTCCAGAGAGCTAAAGGAAGGGTTCCAGCCTTGCTGTAAGGAGAAGCTGCTCCAAAACTTCAGCAGGTTCTGAGATCTCTCCTGAGCAGTGTGTTGGGGAAAAGCCAGGTGCAGGAGGTGCTGGACCACACTGACCTTGGGAAAGGCTCTGAGCAGGCAGGAAGAAAGGATTGGCTGGGAATGAACCTTCTCAGGAAGGGAATTGGCTAAGCAGGTGATGGCTGCCACATGCCAGACCCTCTGAGGGAGTTGCAGGGAATGAGGGAGGGCCTAATTCAGGAATACAGTAGCCAAAACCAGCCCCTGATCGCAGCCCAGATGGTTCAGAGGGGCAGTTTGGCTGATCCTAAAGGGAGAGGCCAGAGCAGCTGTGGAGTGTTGCTTGTTCTGTTTTCCATTGGCAGGGAGATGGACAAGCTGGTTTCCAGGGTTGTTTCCATCTCTTGTTCCTCCTGGTTTCCGTCCCCACGATCAAAGTAACTGAAAATGTCTTGATTTTTGCTCCTGCTGCACACACACGTGTGGCAGTACCAGCTGTTGCTGGGTTTTGAAGTGTTTCTTCTTACCTCCAGGTGAAAACCACAAAATGCAGATTTAACAGCCTTGTAAGTGCTGCACACTGAGCACTTGGCCTGTGATTGTGAAGAGCTGTGTAGTCTAACTGGGAATAAAGTATATTCATACCAAAGCTATTTAAAAAATAACCTGAATGTTTAAAAGTATGTGGAGCTGCTTATTTTAAGGTGTGATGAAGCTGGAATCCAGGTTTAATATAATAATATTTAATCTGTGACAGACTCCTCATGTGATCCTGTTTGCCTGGGAATGATTTGAAGGTTATTTTTACAGTGCAGTGTGAGCAGTTTGCTGATATCCCAAAGCCTGCCCCAAAGAGTGAAGCTGTGCAGGTTCCACCTCTTGTGTAAGTAACAAGGAGAATTTGGCTGAAAATGTGCTGAGATGATGAGAGCTGTTGATTCTAAACTTCTTTTGCTGTATTTTATTTTCTCCATGTTTCAGGAGACTGGAAGCAGTGTACTCTCCATGAGATGGAAACTCTCCAGTCTGCTTTGCCAGGCTGGTGGGGAGACTTCTACTCAAAAAATGCATTTTTGCCTTAAGAAAAAAAAAAGTTTTTATTGTGTTCTGACTCTACAGGTGACAAAAGCCACAGAGGTGGCTTTCCACAAAGTACTGGTCCTGTTGCAGGTGAGGTAAGTGAAGGGTCTGGTTTATAAAGTACTTGTTTGGGAAGTTTTAATCCATTTTATGGAGCAGGGGTGGAGGAAGTGCCCTTCAAGCAGTGGCAAAAGGTTCCTGTTACCTGAATTTGTGCATTTCACCTGCATCAGTGAAATGCAGGTGAATTTCCATTATTCCTGTAAATGCAATTGCAGTTATTTCCCCTGTGAGCCTCTCTTTGTTAGAGAGTGGAGATGAGTTACCAGGCAGACCCCAAGGTTTCAGGAGTGCATCTTTCCAGTGAATCTGTGGGAATAGAGCCACAGGTTTGTGTCAGTGAGAGCAGCGCCTCCATCATTAATTTATATGGGCTGGAGATGGGGAAAATCAGCACGGCTGGAAAAACGTGCAGCTGAGGTGTGAAACAGCCTGGGTTTACCTGGGCAGGGAAGGGGCACAGGCTGCTCCTTGGGGTGTTGTTCTGAATGAGGCTGAACCAGAAAGTGAAAGGTTCAGGGCACGGTGCAGCGGTGATGAAGATGTTCGGCTGGATTTACAGCCCGGGGCCGTGGCCGTGCCAGGTGTGAGCCATGTCCCCTCTTGGAAGGAGCCCAGCTCCCCTTGGCACCAGCAGCGGGCACCTGTGTGAATTGACTGAACGTCATTTTATCGCTTTTTAACATTTCTCTCTCTCCTTCCAGCGCTGCCGCCTCCTTTCCGGACCCAGCTCCCGCATCCCCGGCGTCTGCACGGGGAAAGGGCGCCCGGTGCTTGCCCCGGGAGGGGCCGCGGGGCGGGAGGTGCTGAACGAACAGCTCCGCTCACCTGCGCGGGCTGGCGGCGGGCCTCGGGGTGTTCCTGCCCCCCTTTTCCCCGAGCCGTTTTCCACATCCCCAATTTTCACCTTTTCCCCCCCATTTCTCCCCCCCCCCCCCCCCCCGCGGGTTTCCCGCGCGCGCGCACGGAGGGGGGGGGGGGGGTGAATGGCGCGCGCGCCGCCCCCTCCGCGCCCCCCCATCCCCTCCTTCCCTCCCCGCCTTGGCCCCCGCCCACGTGACCCGCGCGGGCCAATGGGCGCGCGGGGCGGCGGGGATCCGGCTGGAACCGGTTGGGCCGCGTCCGGCTCTATATAAAACTTTATAAACACCCGATTCCAATTAGTGGGGTCGGGACCAGCGCAGCCCGCCGGGTGCAGCCCCGCTCCGCAGCGCGCCCCGCTCCGCAGCGCCCCGCTCCGCTCCGCGGCGCCGCCAGCGCGCCCGGCTCCGCACCCCCGCCTCCCGCGCCGCTCCCTCCGCCCCCTCACGGCGCCCGGCGCGCTCCGCTCTCCGCACACACTCACACACACACACACATTTACTCACACACACTCACACTCGCACACGCGGAGCCATGCCCAAGAGAAAGGTACGTGCTGCCCCCGCCGCCCTCTCCCCCCTCACGGTGCCCGTTCCCCCCTCACGGAGCCGCCTGTGGGAGGGGGGGCGGGACCAGCGCTCCCCCCGCGCGTTCGGGGCGGTAACGGAGCCGCGGGGCCTCGCGGGGTGGGGGCGGCGCGGGGCCGGTACCGGCGCGGCCGCGGGCGGCGGGAGGGGCCCGCCGGTCCGAACCGGTTGGTTTTGGCGGGAGGTCGGGGCCAGGGGAGGGGGAGGGGAGCGCCGGTGCGGGCGGGAAAGGGCGGGAAGCGGCGGCGGCGCTTTGCCGCCAAAACGGCGGGGGCGGGAGGGGAGGGACGGGGATGGGATGGGGAGCGGGGCCCGCCCCGAGCGGCGGCGGCGCCCCCGCACCGCCTGCGGGCCGCCGTGGGCACGGTCCCCCCGGGATTTGGGGTAAAACGGGGGGGAACGGGAGCCCTGCCCATCGCCGGTCCCTACAACCTGTGTCCCTGTCCCCAGGCTGAAGGAGACACCAAGGGCGATAAGGCCAAAGTTAAGGATGAGGTAAGAAGTTCAGTGTTTTGAGAAAGTTGGATCATCAAGTGTTTCCCTTGGAAGATGAGGTTTAACGTCGTCAGAATGACTGCGGAGTAGTGGGGAGGGTTATCTCAATTGATTCTGACTTTTCAAAGTCTTAACTGCTTTTTAACCATGAGAAATCTTCTTTTAACCATGAAAAATTACTCAACTACCATTAGCTATTAGTAATTCCAACAGCATAGCCTCATGTTTCTTGAGAACACAGAAAAAGGGAAACTGGGAAACTACCATCTTAATTTCTAAAAACTAAAGAGCTATAGATGTAATTTCTGGGGATTGACTACTTTGGGAAGAGAGCAAGTTTGTGAGAAGTTTAGAGTTCATTTCCCATGTCATTTCAATAGAATTGTTTTCCTTTTCCAACAGCCCCAGCGGAGATCAGCGAGGTTATCTGCTGTGAGTATCCTCTTGCTGGGCAGAGGTGTCACCACACTCGCTGGTTTTACACACGACCTCTGGGTGTGCAAATGTGTGCCAGCGCTGGAGGTGAAAATTCAGTTCCTGCCTTAAGGCCCTGCCCCATTGTGTGCTGCTGTGGCAGTGGTAAAATAATGGACAAACCAAACAGCTGCTGCAGTTTCAAATGCTTTATTTGCTTTCCTAAAATGAAGCTATTTGGCCTGAACGTTAAAAAAAAAATAAAAGAAAGTAGTTTGTTTCTCTGGAGCAGGACTTGAACAAGGGCCTGGAGTGCCAGGACAAAGGGGAATGGCTTCCCACTGCCAGAGACTTGGCTATGGGGAGGGAATTCCTGGCTGTGAGGGTGGGGAGGCCCCTGGATCCCTGGCAGTGCCCAGGGCCAGGCTGGACAGGGCTGGGAGCAGCCTGGGACGGTGGGAGGTGTCCCTGCCATGGCAGGGTGGCACTGGGTGGGCTTTGAGGTCCTTCCAAGCCAGACCATCCCACCAGTGTCTGACCAGGTTTTCTCTCCCTTGCAGAAGCCCGCTCCTCCCAAGCCAGAGCCCAAACCTAAAAAAGCAGCTCCAAAGGTGAGTTGGGTTGGCTCAGGGCTGTTTGGAAAGGTGAATAAATGTGTGATGAGATTTGGCATTGCCTGGCAGTGATAACAGCTGACAAACCTTTGATGAGCAGCTGTGCAGTGAGGAAATGGAGCTGCATCCTAAAGCTGAACTGACAGCTTGCAGATTTCACAGAATTTGCATAAAAAATACCCGAGTGAGGAGCTCTCGCTTGCTGTCAATCCCTTCACAAACAGACCTGGGTGTCTGTGTTCTTTTGGAGCCAGCACCCCACAGGGGCTGTGGCTCTGCCTGGCTCTGGGAGCTGACAGCAAATGTTGTCTTGCATTCACAGAAGAGCGAGAAGGTGCCCAAGGGGAAGAAAGGAAAAGCTGATGCTGGCAAGGAGGGAAACAACCCTGCAGAAAATGGAGATGCCAAAACAGACCAGGTATCCCAGCAGGCTGGTGTGCAGCTGCATTGATTCCTTTCCCTCGGACCGGGACAGGTCTTGGCTCGTGGGTGCTGCTTACAACCCTCGGCACAGGGGGTGTTGGTAAAGAGTTAAATTGTCTGTTTGCCAGGGGATGTTGCCACATGGAAGTTACCGTTCTTCTGTGAATTCAAAAAGCAACTTCTAAGTTGTGTTTTATGGTGCAACAGATGTTCAATTTAATTTTATTAAAAATCAGGGCTGTGCAGCCCAGGGAGGATTTGTTCTGCTCAGGGTTTTGCTGTATAGAAAAATGAGTGTCCAGTTTTTAATGTGTTGACTTGTTCCCCTTTTCCTTTCAGGCACAGAAAGCCGAAGGTGCTGGTGAAGCCAAGTAAAACATGTGAATTTTTGATAACTGTGTACTTCTGGTGACTGTACAGTTTGAAATACTATTTTTTATCAAGTTTTATAACAATGCAGAATTTTGGTTTACTTTTTTTTAAGCTATGTTGTTAGCACACAGACCGCTTCATTGTTGTGTTCTGGGGGGGTGGGGGGCAATGGGGACAAATGTCATTTAGTCTATTTCTCAAAACCTGAATTTTAATAAGAAAAGCTTCTGCCAGTCCCCCAGTTTTTGGAAGAAGGGCCCTTCCTGCAGGGAGGAAGAAGGGATTCCCCCGTGCTGCGTGTCGTTGTGTCCAGGTGAGCGTCAGAGCTGCCTCGATGCTGTTCCTGCTGCACGTCCCAGTGCCCCCAGCTCTGTCCCCTGCTCACCCAGAGCTGGGACCTTCCCTGGCAGAGGATCTGCATTGCTGGTGCCCAGCCTGGATGTTCTGGCTCAGACAGGAGCTGCTCCTCCTCTCTCCCCCTGTGGACCCTCGGATGCAGAGTTCTGCCCCTGCAGTTTGTGCTCCCCTCCAAGTCAGGGTGGGTTTGTGCAGCGCTGTCAGACAGCGCCCGTGGGAACGCGCCCACCCTCACTCTAAACCTCCCCCAGTGCCAGCTGAACATGCTGACGGTTTTTAGCAACTTCTCCATTTCGGTAGTCCACAAAGGGAGGGGAGTTTGACAGTTGTTGTAAGGTGTTGCAGATTGTAGCCCATGTCCTGCCTAAATTACCATGATTGTTCATGAAAAGTACCTTTAATAAAGCTGGATACGGTTTGGCTTGGACTGTTCTTAATGCTCTCTAATTTCTCCTGCCTTTAGTTCACTTCGTGTGGTTTAAGAGCATTTCCTTTGTGCATGCCTGTGTTCGTGCTTTCATTCAGATAATTAATTGTTATAATTCACACCTGAAAAGCAAGATTTCCTTACCTGAAAGTGAGGTTTCCTGGCCTAAAAGCTAGATCACTGCAGTGTGTTTTTAGAGCCTTGGCTTACTTGGAGGCTGAAAATGGAACATGTAAATAAATCTACTGAGTTAATTCTTTATTTTCTAAAATGCAGCACTGTACGAAACAGGGAGGAATACAGTGATCTTGCAGCAGAGGAAAGTAAAATTCTGGTGAGCTTTTCTTGGGAGTGAAACCAGAACTGGCTCCATAAAACTGATGATGTGTTACATTTCTGCACTTAAACTTGAATATTGTTGTTCCTGCTAATCGAATCCAGACCTGGCTGGGGTAGTGACTAAGCAGGAGACGAGATTTTTTGAGTAAAAATGCTCCATTTTTATAATTGCTACTTAGACTCCAGAGCAGAGCCAAACCCAAACCCCCCTGTGTAAATGTCTCCTTCAGTGGCTGTCAGAGGAATATTTTTTCCATCTCTGCTTGGCTTTCCCTGGGATTTCAGTGTCTGTTTGTGATTAAGTTCAGTGACCTGTTTCAACCTGTGCTGATTTCAGAGGGAACCCAGTGAAAACGAGCAGGGAAGAGTTTCACATCCAGAAATTTCCAATGTGCTGGAAGTGTCCTGGAGCGGCTGCAGGCACAAAAGGCAGATTGGGATGTGCCCCCAGGAGCTGCTCCATCCCGGGTTCCATAGCTGCTGTGTCTAACAGAAAAGAAATAATGGAGAATAATCCTTCATTAAACCCCTCCCAGAAACAGCCACCAAACCTCCTGAGCAGTCGCTGGGGCGGCCGGGCAGTGGGATGTCGCTGTGGAAAAGAAAATAATAATTAAATGTTAAAATCAGAAAGTTGGAAACAGCCTACCCTGCTTTTGTAGGGATTTACCTTGCTGGGCATCTATAAATGAACGAGTACTTCCAGAGGAGCTGGGTCTGGGGGTTTGCCTGTGCCCAATTTCCAGCTGGAACGTTCTGGAGTTCCCTGTGTCCATCACGGGCTTGGTGACCTCTTCACCCCGTCATTAACAAAGTGCTGCTAATGAAGGGAACCCAGGGCTGCTCTTTGTTGGAGGAGTTACTCCTTCACTTCTCCATCTCCCCACCCCAGCAGCCCCTGCTGACCCGTGTGGATCCTCGCAGGATCTTTTCCCCAGCCAAGCACAAAACCAGTGATTTTAAGCAGCGTCTGCCCCCTAAATTCCTCAGAAAGCAAAGGATATTTTGGGTGCTGAGCTGCTTCCCCCTGCACTGCTGGAGTTATTGGCCTGCTGGGCTTGACTCGACAGGCAGGGCTCATCTATTTCTCCTTAAGCAAAGAGAGACTGAGGGATGCTGAAGCCAGTAAATCCAACTAATTAGCTGTGTAAATTAGAGCTGGGGAGCTGCAGCCCGTGCCTGCTTCGTGGTTAGAGGCACCACAAATCTGCATCGCCGCCTGCCAGAGCGCCTGAAGCTGAACAGACATTTTTTCTGCTAAATTGTAATCATTTTACACGGAAAATTGTCTCTTGTGCGTCTGCTGGGAATGGGGCTGGTGCTGCCAGGTGCAGTTAACAGGCTGGTCCCTTGGGTGGGCTCTGCAGCAGCGGGGATTTGTCCTGCTGGAGCTTTGGGAAACACATCCAGGGGCCAGAAAGTCACCACTGGCAACGGAAAAACAAATGAGTTCTGTGCTCCGCAGCAGGCCTGGAAGCTGGGCACAGGATGGGTTAAATCCATGCAATATTGGAGCTCTGCCACTAATTTGTTTCTGCATTTATTGATTTCAGCACAAGTCACCTGGGAAATAGGGCCAAACTGCTGTTGTCATTTATTACCCTCTTAATAGGTGAAGTTGCAAAGAATGACCAAGTTCTGCTCAGGGCTGAAGCCTTTGGGATGCTGGAAGTGGATACTGGGGATGATCCTTGTTTTCCCAATGCTTCAGGATTTTGCTGAGGTTTTAAGAACTGTGAAATTACTGATAAATTATAGAGCAAAGTCTCTGGACTCTCCCCAAAGCAGCAGCAATTACACTCAGCAGAAGTTATTGTGAGCAATGTGAGCAAAGTTAATGTAAGTTGCCAGCCAGTGGCCACTTCCCCATATCCTACAGAGCCACCTTTCCCCAGCCATGGGTTTCTGTCAAACTGAAAGGGAATTGGGCTAAAACCCACGAGAACAGGTGAACTGGACCCTGCCAGGAGGGCTCCCCAGGCCCTGCTCCTCCCAGGGCAGTGCCCCAGGATGAACATTTGAGTTTCAGAATCATTCCCCCTGCAGCAGTTTTGCTTTTGCCTTCAGTTCTCTTTGGAAGAAGCAACAGTTGCCTCCAGCCCTGCACGGGTGGGCTGAAAGGGAGCAAGGAAGGGAAATGGGCTGAATTCAGCCAGTGCAGCCAGAGGATATTGAGTTGCAGGATCATTTTTGTCAGAGGAATCACGCAGCTTGATGGCACAGGGATTTCATTGTCCCTAAATCATCCCAGATATGGTAATGCCGTACCCAGGGACTAATATTGCTGACTATAATTCCTCAGCAATGGCACCTTCTCCTGCAGTTGGTGGAGATGAAATGGAGCTTGAGTTAAACTCACAATTTACAGAGTGAGCCCATCATTTGAAAGGGATGGGAGGGAGATGGCACAGGGGGAGCTGTGGTAAAGTTGATTGAAGCTAATAAAGATCTTTAATGAGTTGGCTTTAGAAGATTTCTGATGTGAGAGACTGGGCTTTGTAAAGACTCTATTAAAACTGTTTTGTCTTTTTTTTTTTTTCTTTTTTAACTTTTTAACCATCTCTTTATGAGGGGAAGGAGAAGATCTACAATGTGGCAAAGGAAACAGGAGTAAAAAATTTCAGAGAAAACTTTGTAAAGCTGAGACTTTTTAGGATGCATCAGCCTGGAGAAAGCACTTGGGGAACCAAGAAGGAGCAGTCCCAGGTGGGAGTGCCCAGGTGTGGAGCAGGTACCACAATTCTCTGCATTTTTCTGGACACATAAACCCCAAACAAAATTTCTACTTTTCCCCTTTAAAGAGATTTGATAGTAGATTTAATTTTTCCTCACTCAGTTACCCCACTGAGGTTACTTTTGGATTTTGGACAGATTTCCCTGCAGGCTGCAGCTCTGCCCTGCTCTCGGGTTCGTGCAGAGGAGGGTGTGTGTGGCAGTCTCCTCCTGGAGAGGAGTTACTATCAGATTACTATTAATCTGGATTACTATTTTGGCACTGTCCAGACAGATTTTGTTTGTTTTTATTCCATTGAAGTGGTGTCTTGGTGCTTCCTGATGTAATTCAGTCTCCTCTCAGCACAAGAGCTGAACGTTCCTGTATTAGGGGCTCTGAGTTTAGCCCGAGGATTGATTGCAAACTTGGGCAATTAAATTGGCTTTTCTCACCATCTCCTTCTTCCTGGAGGCAATAGCAGAGGTTGTTCCTGTGCTGGGGTGTTTGTGGATGGGTTTTGGTGCCTGCAGCCTGCCTGGAGCTGCCCAGGTTTCCCTGCCATACCATGACCCAACAACTCCTGTGCTGCCAAGCCCCACTGAGAAAAATCCCCTCGATACCGAATTAATTCTCTTGCAAAATCATCCTCGATTTCAGAGCGAGCAGGATCTGGGCACGTTGGAGGGGAAGGCGGATTTGGGAGCCCCCGGTGCTCCTTCCACGGCTCGGTGGGTTCCTGGGGATCGCTCAGCTCATTAACACTCGGTGATTAATTAAAACAGCAGCCTTTCCTCGCCTTGGCCGCACGGGGGTACCAGCGAGCCCCGAATGGCGCGGCCGGAGCGGGGCTGTCCCTGCCCATGGGGGCTCCTGCTCCCGGAGCACGGAACCAGCGCTGCCCCATCCTCAGAGACCGGAGCTGGGCAAACCCCGCTCACCCCAGCGCCCCGAGCCCTCCCTGCGCCTCCTTCCCAGCTCTTGGTGGGATTTTACTCAAAATCCACACCGAGTGCTCAGTTCCTCATCGGTTTACAGGCATAGCTGACTTTGCAAAGGAATTCATCCGTGTTATATCAAGCCTTTGAACTGAGGCTTCCCATATTCTATTTTAAGAGTCGCTGGACCATTCCTTTTCCTCCTCAGGCCATTATTGCAGCTGCTGTGGCACATGTCCCGAAAGTTTGAGCCTAAAACTAGAGCTGCCACTCTCCGTCTCATCTGTCCTCAGCTTGGGAAGGGATATCCTAAACCCAGATTTAAATAGGCGGCCTGTAAGCCTGCTCTCTTTTAGGCTTGTTGGCACAAACTGCTTATGTCAGAATTGCTGAATCTTCAGCCTGAGATCACAGAATAAGTGGTGATGTTCAAAGAAGTAATATAATATTTTAGTTATTGAAAAATGTCCTGTGCTTTTTGTGTTACTTCATTTTGCTTTTGTATTCCCGTATTTGAGTTTGTGCTTTTGCCCTGTGAGCCAAATCTAGGAAATTAAGTTGTAAC